TTTGTACAGCTCTTTAACAAGCTTCCTATTTATCTTTTTAATTCGCTAACATTGTTGTAAGGCAAATGGAAAAAAGACCAGAAAAGGAAAAGTTAAGGAAGGAATTATATTAAAAACACAGAAGTAAACAAGAGCCTTCCCCTATTGTGTAGTTATTATATACTACAAGCAAGTAATTGTTTACTCAATATAGTAATTATAAAATCCTTAAGGATCCAACAGAGTGCTGACAAAATAGAAGATGCTTACTAAAGACTTTTCAGCTGAATGACAAATACAAAGGAAAAGATATGTGACAAGAATTCTGAGGACAGGTGTATGCAGATACATCTATCATGAACCACGATTTGTCCATTCTACACACGCAACTTTTCAAAACAATCCTACGTATTTTACGCTTTCAAAACAAAGTAACAGGAAATTAATTCTGTATGGAGACTTAGGACACGTGAATGATAAAAAAGAGAAGGAAATGATCACATATTTTTAAAGGTGGTATCAATAAGGAGTTTTTAAACCACAGAACAAATCATCTCTAAGTTTCAAGATTGTCAGAGTGCTTAAATTACCAGTTTAAATAAATTACATTATAAAATGTAACTATGTGGAATTGAGATCTTACCAGAATATATCCTCTAACACATCTAAAGGTAAAGGATGAGGATTAAACACGATAAAAAGTCTTTCTTTCACAGGAGTTTCAGGAGGGGCTTTTTTTTTGCATGATGGAAGTACAACATCTGTCTGGATTTGAGGCAACTGTGATCCAGAACTTCCTCCAAATTGCTGTTGAAGAGTTAGGTACAAAACAAGAAAAAGAAAAACTACACTTTAGGGATCTTAAGCAAAGAGCTAAAGAGATGTGTTTCATGGCACCTGTGTGGTCTTTTACTATAGCTCTGAAAATTTTCTTACATAAACAAAGACCACATTTATTTTATACCCTAAGGATGTGCTGTGAAAGTTAAATTCTTACCTACTTACCAGAAATTGCTGCTGATTTGGGTTATTCCACACCATTGAGGCAAGCTGTGCAGCTACCATCTGTGTTGCCATTTTTCTAAGGAGACTGGAGATAATAACAGGTAATTTACAGAAAACCAGAAATATTCAGTCTCTTAACAGTAACTTGTTTTGTGTGGCCCCCTCACAGGAGAGATCAATTGTTTTCTATTTTTATTCTTCAAATCATAATCATGTACAACCAAAGCTCGGCTTTAGACACTATTGGAATGGTACTTACTCTGTTGGATTACTCCCATCATCAATGAAGGAAACACCTATCCAATTTCCAGGGGGGTACTGAAATCCATGTAACTTGTATTTTGCGTAAATAGCTGATGCTACATTAAAATACTGAACCACTCCATGACCTAAAACAAAGTACAAAATATACAGAAATTAAAAAGAAAGCAGGTCGAGTACCTAAAGCCTGTGTTGCCACAGAAATAAAACAATAAGAAATACCCTAATATCATACTGCTAGTAAATACAGATTCAAATGTGTCAGAAAATAAAGTTCTTATAATACAAGTGTGTGTAAAACCTGTGTTCCTACAAAGCGAAGTACAAGCCAGATTTTGGTAAAACTATGAACACAATATTTTAAGGAAAGTGGAATCATTACCATAAGTTCCATCCAATGAGTTTAATTTTAGAATATTGGCTTTTCTTATATGACACAGATACACCTAAAAGCCAACCAGTTTTTCTTAAATTTTTATTCTTTAAAATCTACTTTGAAATTCTAAAAATTTCCCTATCATACTGAATAGGAAATGGAATGAGAAGAGATATATGAAAAGACTATATAGTCATCTTGTCTAGCTGCAGTGGTAAAGACAGGAAAAGGGATTATGTATGAAAAACAAAATGTAGGGAACACCGGGTCTCAGATGAGAAGTCACGTATTTCACAACCCTTTGGAGGGCTTTCCACTAAGGGGAAAGATTTCAATTCAGGAAAGTGATGTTGAAGGAGGAGCCTGGTTTTATTCTAGAGTCCTTATACAGACAGCCCAGAAGCCTGTAACACAACCAAAAGGTTTTCAGGATATTTTATAATGTAACCCACTTTGGGGAAAACACTGTTATAATTTTTTTTTTTTTAGCTGAGCCACCTGCCACCTGTTGGCAGCTCAGTGGCAGCTCAGTGCATCGAACCGCTGTTGCTCAGAGCTCGCACTCTTACGCGAGCTCTTACCCAACTGAGCCACTCGGCCACCCTAACACTGTTATAATTTAATGTTCCTAAACTCAAGCATCCCAACATTTTAATGAGATTAAAATAAAACTCAGAAAGCAAATGAACATATAAAACTAAAATTCAAACAGTGTTCTTACTATATGGTATCTCTATTAGTACAAAGGTATTCCAATGACTCACATATTTATCAGACACATCCAACCACAGAACCAAGATAGAGGGTAAAGGAACAAATACATTTCAACATACCAGATAAAAAGGAAAGAAAACAAAATAGAATTACATATGAATATAACAACAAATGTGCCAGAAAACACAAAATGTGTGCCTTAGCGTCAGAACAAAGAATGATGGTGTAAATTTGGGTTAAGCCTGGAGATGGTACAAAGTGGGTTCAGAGGGGCGGTCCTGCACAAACACCAGTGCTGGGTAGGGGAATACTGAGCCGTGGGGGCATCTGTGGAAATGGCAGGGGCACGCCAGGCCTGTCAGCCCACATGACCCGGCTCACTTCCCTACTTCCCCCTCGGCATTCATGACACCCTAAAAGGACTAAATCAAGTATATCTACAGGACTGGAAAGATGCCAAGTATGACTGTCCTATACCACCCCTCACCTCCAAATTCTCTAAAACAAACCAACAAACCCCATAGGTTTTTGGAGTGCCCATTATGCGCCATATATTATTTCTAATTCTTATCTTACCCTGGCATAGAAGGCATTAATAATCCCACTTTACAGATGAGGAAAGAAGCTCAGAGATGACAAGCCATTAGCCAAGGTCTCAGAGCTATTTGCCACGGCTGGGATTTGCACCTGAGGCTGATGCAAAGGAGAATGCCAGCCTTTCCCATTATGCCACAATGTCTCCATTAAAAAAAAAGCCTTTAAGGAAATCAGAAGGATTAAAAAAATACAAAGAGATTAAGCTAAGATTAGGTAATAGGCTTAATTAATTCATTAGTTAAAGGTTCAAATAGCTATTAGAGCCATGCTTCTATTAAGAACAGGAAGAGGTTGAAAGAGAATTAGGGCAACCAGGTACCTGACGTGAAGAAAAGGAGTTTCATTTCGAGGAATATAGTTTAAGAAAAAGAGACACAGGGATGAAGAGGTAACTTTAAGGGCTTTATAACTTGCCTGGCATGAATCAAGAGTACAGAGAGAGACTCTACCTGAGGTGTTTTCGTTGTACAGCTGGAAACAGAAAATGCTCTATTTTGACACAAAGTGTCATTGGAGAAAAGCCATCTTAACAAAACACGTTATATTTAAAAACAACGTAGATATTATTTTACCATAATTTGAATAAGGATCTCGTTGAACTTCACAATATTCCAATCCTGGTACTATATCAAAAATGCTGAAAAGCTGCTCTTCAGTGAAAGGAACTCTTGATACAACTGACAGGCGTTTGGAGATAGCTTCCTGGCCTCTGTTGTCATTCTTGTCAAAACTTGAAAATTCAGGTTGTTGCTCTCCAACAAACAATATGGAAAAAAGTAAATCTTCAAATTTCTATGCAATCAAGAATTCATTTAACATTTTATGTACTAGAAAATAAAATGAACTTTTATTAACTCCATTGCATTAAACAAAGTCCCGATATTTTGAATGACCAAGGAGTGCTTTTTGTCATCAGCACTATCAGAAGGGACCAAGGACAAGAAAGCAGACAACTCTCCCAACTCCTCAGCCTTCAACACAGAAATATAAGCTGAAGTGCGTAGTCTAATTTCACAGGAATATGTTTAATATGCAAAACTGCAAACTATGGCAAGTGTTTTACCTAAAACAAAGTTTATGCCAAATAACATTCACAGGTCTTACTTTCATCACCTATTTTCCCGTTTTCTCTAGCTTCTACTTTTGTCATTCCTCTCCTTTCTCTAGCTCTAATTTTCAAGCAACAGTAGCTTAGGGATAACATTTTAGAATTCAATACTGAGGGGATATCTGCATATGTCTCATACTTTTTGGTCAGTCGCATAGAGGTGGAAGCTCACCCAAAAAAGTGGCAGTGACATAGGTGAATATTTATATCATGCATAACTAATCATCGAAAATTGGAAATAAGTAAAAATGTGTTAAATATTAAGGACATGAGGGGTCATGACCAACGTCTTAAAAAAATAACCCACTACAGTTAGACTTCTAGACACTAAGTTAGGTTTATAGACTGCTAATAAATGAATACTTTTTAAAACTCAAAACAAGATTGTATATACTAATACTATTAGTGTAAGGGTAGCCCACTTACCAAATGGAAACATATTTACTCTAGGTTCATGTCCCAAAGTCTCCTGCCTCATGTTACTATAATAATCCTGTTCTGAAGAATCAGATGCTTTATTTTTAGGCTCAGCCAAGATTGCCCTAAAACCTGAAAAAGAGAATCCATGAACTTCAAGATTCATAGCAAATTTAACATACCTGCAAATAGACCTAATTACTAATGCTTGATTTAGCTTTGTAAATATAACTGTAGAAAACAAAGTCTACATAACCAGACCTCTTCTTTTGCTTTTTTTGGAAGGTGGCAAAGAGAAAATGAGAAACAGCAAGAATCTCAAATTATGGGTCAGTGTAAACCTAAAAGACCAGCAATTCTATGCTATTCTTTCCAATCTCCCCAACTACAGATGACATCTTCATTCATTGTCCCAGGCTCCTTCATAGAAGAATCCCGTACGTCTTCTTCACAGTCAAACTATCTTCAAGATTCTTCCTGTGAAATCCACGTTTCACTCTAACTTCCCTGCTTCTGTTTTTAATTTAGATTCTCTTCAACTAATTACAACCCTTCAACTGATCTCTCCCTTGGGATCCAGGATTTAACTAGGGGTCTAAGGATGAGCTCAAAATGTGGGACGGTTCCATTGCACCTTCTGAAACTTTAAACAAAATACTTATGCATGTATGTGCATATTTCAAGGGAGAAAAGTCATAGTTTTCATTGTATTATTCAGTGGCTCCAAAAAGAATAAAAGTAGCCAGCTTGAACACTTCCTCTGAAAATCTACCCTTGATGCTGTGGTTAGATCAACTGTCCTAGAAGATATTTTATTATGTTTTCTCCTTTTAAAACAATCTACAAGGGAATCCAATGTAGACTAAGCTTGAAAACTCTTCATTACCTGCCACGTGGTTCCAGTGCACCTTGTTACCTCTGTCCTCTCTCAACAGGAATGCTGTGCTTCACTCACACTGCTGCCTTCACAGTACTGAGCAGAAACGCTTATGTGCCTGTGCCTGTGCTCACACTGCTGTCACCTTCTGTCCTGCCTACTCTACACCAGGTGGAAATCCTACTCCGATGCCTTCCCGTGTTCATTCAGTGCACTTGTTTTTCACCACTGATGAGACTATATCACACACTGTTGAACACTTTCCTCCTGTGGCAAATTTTTATTGAGTGTACTATCCATGGCAGTATCTTTGATTAAGGTCTGAAATCTTCATTGAGAGTTTATTACTGTACTAGGTATTTGAGGTGACAGAAACAGACAAATAAAACATACTCCTTGCTTTCAAAGAGCCTTTAAGAGTTCTATTCTTCTTTATCTTTTGCCTGTTAGATTTTGGCTATACAATATAGCTATAAATTCTTTAAATGCCGAAACTGCTTTATATTTGCATCCCTCTTCTTAACACATTGATGAGTATACCATTGGTACACAATTAATGCTGGCTGACTGAGAAATTTAGAAGACTCTGAGAGAAAATTTTGGTGTGTACTTTAGGGTTATGTAAGAATTTTACTGGTTAACAATGATTCTTTCCAGTATGTATAGATTTTTATAATACCCTGAAACCCGCTAATTTAATGATTCATTAATTCATTTCTAAAGGTCAATATAACTAAATGTATGACAACAAAGGAAATTCTCCTTGGCTTCTTTACAATTCTTATTCTCCATTATGTACACCAGCAACAACAGAAGATCAAATTAATGTCACTCTAGCTTGAAATTAACCCAATGTATATTTACTTACCTATGTTAGCAAACCTTATAAATCCTATCCTTAACTTATATGTTTATTAGTATATTTAATTCTATTTAGGGTTTAGGTCAAATATAAACAAATATTAAAGAAAA